TATTACTCTGAGGAGATCAGAATTGAATAATTTAAATGGCTTACAATAAACAGTTTCCTCTACAAACTGCGTTTACATAATTGATATGATAATGTCGACGTGTAGTGACCTACCTGATGATTTAATGCACGTACCTTTACACTGTTAGCACTAACATAAAACCTGATTCAGTGTCAGTCCAATTTTTTTTAATAATGATGCAGTTTTTGTTACTTTCCTTCAACTAATATCGAATCTCTCTCTCTTCACCATTTTCTAAGACTCAATGAAAGGGCTATGTTACTGAAAGATGCCCTCTCCTCCTCATGCAGATGACCAGGTTTTGAATATATGTTTCTCCCGTGTTATGATGTTGACTCTTATCAGAATGCATTAAGGCGTGTTGATACAAAACACAAGGAGAATTTCAGAAGGCAAGAATGCATGTAAGTCAATACAAAGACGCAAGAGGACACAAAGACTAAAGTCAGCTGCGAGTCAGTTGAAAATGCCAGAGCTCTAAGTTTCCAATTCATGAACATATAGGAAGATACCAGAAAGAACTGGAGCTTATGGTGATAATCAGATTCTGAGCACACAAGCCCACTGAACACACACATGCACAGCCAATGCGTACCTTGCTAGAAAGCCACTGCTAACATTTGTACAGTGCGTACTGTTTGGGGGGAGAATTATTACAGTCCTGGGGTCAGATGAACGCAGGTAAAGGAAGACATGCTCTGCCTGAAAACACCTACACATAAACCCGCCTCCTGAACACCGGAGAGGAAATGACTTGCACTACACATGGCTTGTTAGCCGAGCTTTGGGAAGCTGATTGATAACGGTTCTGACAGGAGAGAATAAGATAATTGAACCGAGCACATGCTGCCTCTAACGCTGTGGAAAAAAGCTGGTGGTTTAATGCCCCCCTCTTCTTTCCTTCCCTACCTTGCAGAAACAAGGCCATAAAAACGTGCCCACTGTCTGACCCACTTTCCATGACAGACGTAATCTCCCTCCTCAAACTCCAGCCTGTTTACCAGCCTAGCGCAGAGTAAGCTGGAGCGGGAGGAGAATGTCAAGCTCTTCACACACAGCGGGGGGAAAGCTGCCGCTCAGCTGTGCCGAAGATTACACCCGCGGACCCTCGCCGAGCTGCGAGACCCTCCCTGTTAAAACCACACACACGTGCACGCAAAACGATAAATGCTATCAATTACTTAAAACAAAAGTCCCCCCTCGTGAGGAACTGCTGTTCCCATCATTAGGTTTTAAAGGGTGAAAACAAACACACGGCTGTTTGGCGTTGATTTGTTGGTTTGAATCTTACTCATACTCACTAAGCGGCAAGGTGTTAACCACCAACTGCTGCCGTGACAGCTTTCATCTATTTCCATTGAATCAATATGCCATAGACATAGGTTTCCACACTTAGCTACACAGCACAGCATGGACAATATAAAAGGTATATGTTTTCTTTAATTAGTATTAATGTCTCAAAAATACCTGTCATTTATATCTCTAGAAATTACGTGTAGGCTAATTCACAATATGTATATTAGGCGCATTTGATCGTGGATTGAGGTGGCCTTGTGGAGTTATGTGTCTTTCAAAGGAAGTCATGAAGAGTTGATGAGTTATGAACACTATTAATACCAAAATCCTACATTTCAATTTGCAACCATTGCCCCATAGGACAGATTTTCCCATTCTGAAAATGGATAAATAAAATAATAATGCTACTGAAAGTAAACTCTGTAATGTAAATATTAAAAGACACATTCATCAGACTTTTAAGTACTTTTTTAGTTATATAACAATATATCATCTGCAGGGTTTCAGGGTATATTAGATCTCAAAGCTTGCTGAGCATGTACAAGAATACCAGTGTTTCCCACAGAATTTGATTCTATTTGCCCCCCCCGGCAAGAAAAGCCAAAGGCCCCTTAACCTATTCGGGTGGCCCACGCATCCACCCCCCCCCCCCCCTCAAATAAGAAAATACATGCGAGTTCATGGCTACTGTAGACAACGTTCTTGTTGCTCTGTGTTGCGTTGTCAATGAGTGAGACACACCGGAGTTGAGGATCTGTGGGGTTTATTCTCCCAAAAATATAATTTACAATTTAGGCATTTAGCAGATGCCTTATTCCAAAGTGACTTACAATGACCAATTACAGGGACATTCTCCCTGGAGTAACTGAGGGCTAAGTGCCTTACTCAAGGGCGCACTAGTGGTGGTGTTCCAGGCGGGATTTGAACTCGCAACCTTACGATCATCAGCCCACCTCACTATCCATTAGACCACCAACATTTTTTTTTTTTAATAAATATATATATATTATTATTTTTATTTTTTGTATGAGATCCATTTGTGGCGGACGATATTTAATTGTGGCGGCCGGGCACAAATAAATCAATGTATGGGAAACACTGAATACCGAAAGCTTTTAATTTATTTAAAATACATCTACATATGTTTTGGGGTTCCTGGACATCTGTGATAGAGCATCCGGCCCGGCAGAGACTGGAGGCCTCAGTGTCCCCACAGACCGGGTTACTTAGGATGGGAGCAGCTCTGAGCCTCCATTAAGACATCAGAGCTCTCTGTGCGCTCCCGTCTGACACCATCAGCTCCGATTTCTCACACACACACACACACACACACACACACACACACACACACACACACACACACACACACACACACACACACACACACACACACACACACCACACACACACACACACACACACACACACACACACACACACACACACACACACACACACACACACACACACACACACACACACACACACACACACACACACACAGGCCTGCAGGCAACACACCCAAATGCAAATGTGCAGACTCAAACATGTATGTGCATTGCAACACGGCAAACAATATGTCCCAAGAACTTCCCACTAAAGTTATCACCATTTATAGGACTTTGAGAATGCAGGCTTAAAATAGTCCGTACAAAAATATAATAAAGATTCTTCAGTCTTCTTTATAGGTATCTGTGTTTCAACTTGACTCCGGCATAACTCTGGACACCAGACTGAACTCACTGTTGTAGATCTGATATAGACCCTAGTGTAGCCTGATACACCAGTTGTGTTGTGCAGGAAGTTGATGTATCTCAAAGATTGGTGAAGTTGCAACTTAGTTGTGGCTTCTGTATGTTTGCTGTACTATGTGTCAAAAGTTCTAAATGTAGAATATTTTCAAATAATAATAAGATCCTTAATCCATGATTTGGAGGAACTTTCTCCTGTTCGACTTTTACAACCAAATAAAAAAGGGGTTAAAATGTGTTGAACTGACACACTCCTTATGTGCTGAATGTGATAAGGTCTTTTCATGGTTTATTGCATTCACATATGTTTGTTATTACAGCAATGTTATTATTCAAAAAATCTAAATGATGTAATTGTAACTTGTTTGTTTTCTACTTGGTTTCCTTTAATTGTTTATATATATTTTTTAAATCCTTGTGCTTTTTTTAACTATACATAACTGCAACTCACTTCTATGTTTAACATATTGTGATGTCATTATAATTGACATAATACCTTTGCTTTAAAAGTATCCAAAAATATCCATATATCCATTTGTCTCACTCAGAATCTTTTTGATGGAGCAGTTGTAGGACTGAATATCAGTCTATATCAAAGTTTCAGTAATACAATCCTGCAAGCATTTACATTCTTCTACACACTGCTAGTAACTTCTATCATTAGGAAGTCCTACTACAAATCAGTCTGGTTGGGTTGGTTAAAACTAAAAGAATGAAATGTACTAGCCACGCCATTGGCACCAAATGTCCTGATTAATCATCACATTGACAAGCAGACAATGGAAACAGGGCCTGGTGGGGCAGATGGAGTTAAAGCACGTCTGTCTTTACTGTGACATTTCCAACACAGGGAAGGGAAGTCAGAGAGATCCCTATCTGTAACATCACATCATGGCTTACCAGTAGAGAGTGAACGAGACAGAGAGAAAGAGAAAGGGTGAAGGTGGGAGAGGAAAAGAAAAAGAGGGGGAGGATGGGGGTAAGAGACACAGAGGCAGAATGAGATGGGAGATGGAGAAACAAGGGAGGGGAGGGAAGTCATTAACTGGCAATCAAGCCCTGGTAATGGCAAGAGTCTGTGCATTTGCTTAATTCCTTATCAGGCAATGTTGCCTTTTCCACTCAACCCCCCCCCCCCCCCCCCCTCTCCCTGTGACAGATCAGCATGCAGACTGGAAGTTATGTAAAGTAAAACCTGCATCTTTAAACACACACACACACACACACACACACACACACACACACACACACACACACACACAAATATATAAGCATCGAAATACACTAAAAGTACAAAAAGTAAAAGTACTCATTATGCAGATTGGCCCATTGTACACTCATTATATGTTGTCATTATAATCATTGATCATTGATGTATTAATGTATTTATCTGGTAAAGTTGCAGCTTGTTTTATTTATTTTATTTACTACAGGGTAGCTTGTGAATGTTACTCCAGGTGTGACGAAAGTCTGATTTAAGTGTTGATTATATTTCACATTATTAATCCAAATTTGCAAAGTAACTGAATATATTAAAAAATGTAGTGGAGTTAAAGTACACTATTTATCTTTGAATTGTAGTGGGTAAGAAGTACAACATCTCTGGTACAGTACTTGAGTACATGTACTTAGTTACTTTCCACCACTGTGCATGAGTATGTGTAGGACACCTGACAGAGATATGCAGCTGCATCGCTTACAGTACAAGCAATGTGATAGTGTAACTAGGGTACATTGCATATTATGAAATTAGGTATAGTAGCGTTAATAAACGGTCAGTTACTGGTCTTACAGCCGTTGGCAGGACAACGCAGGTGACGGTTAATTACAAGGAACGTTAAAAAGGTTGCTCGGGCTGAATTAGCCCACTAACGGTCGTGTTTAGCCGTTGATGTGATTAATTAAAGGAGTCAGGTGTAAACATGTACTCACTGCGATAGAAATGATGAAATCCTTTTGTTGTCTTCAGTGCTGCTAGCTTCTCCAGCTGCAACTTGCTGAGGTTAGCAATCTAGCTAAGGCTCCACCGGCTTAAAAAAAAGAGAAATTTCGTCTTAAATTCTCCGCTCTACGCTGGCTTTTCAAAAAAATAAATAAAGAAAACCCGGTAAAAATGGAAGCAGAATAGGTGTTATTTTTGTTGTCCTCTTCCCCTGCAGTTATGAGTTGTAGAGGCTTAAAACAGAATATCCTCGCTGCTGTATTTTAAATGACAGGCTCTCCGCGGTGTGCTGTCCTTTGTTGTGAGCATCTCAACGTAAACACCGAGCAGAGCAGCTCTCTGGCTCCGAGCGTACGCTGGAGGTGGAGACAGCGTCACCGCAAAGCATTCTGGGACATGTAGTTTTACTCGATACCAGACGCATGACTCAATTACAGGTAAACAGGTATTCAGACAATGCAAGTTTATTTATAGAACACATTTCAACACGAGGAAAGTTAAAGGGCTTAGTAAAAAAAAAAGCACTAAAGTATTAAGATGAAGTCTGCACCTCACACTGTTCAAGTTGTATTATTTATTCCCCGAAATGTTTGTAATTTTGTATGTTTCCATCAGAATGTATATTCAAATAACTACATTAATTGAAATGTGCTAAATGTCAACTGTTTCAAGTCTACTTGTATAAGATTACATAGCTTAATTAATTCTCAGAGGGGAAACTATAGTTGTTTGGCCATGAAAAAAGCAAAATACATATAAGTTAGACCACATAAACAGAAAACATACGTAAAGCCACAAAGGTAGTTTCCTAATGTAATTAAAATCTACAAATACAAAATGAAGTAGCTGATTAGCATTAAAGTATAAATATAAACTTTGTACTTTATGAATCATCTCATTCTACATTCTGGATATGGTTTAATCTTAAAATGTGCAAAGTAACTATCACTGCAGCTGTCAGATAGATATAGACTAAAAAGTGAAATATCGTCAGCTGAGTAAAAATATTACTGAGTAAATTCAGAATTATAAAATAAAATGTTACTCAAAGTTAAGTGGGTGTTAAACCTCAAGGCCCCAGAACTTGAGTAAAGATTTTCTGGCAGTGCACCTCTGTATGAAATCAATGATCACATCTGTCCACTACACAGAGTTTTGATGTGACACCCAGCAGACGGCCGTGTGAACTCACCTTGAACACCAACAAAACGTGTCTGCTTCATCGCCTCCACGTTGAACTTTGATGTGAATCTGAGAGATTTCAGACTCCACAGACAAGCGTGACTCTCTCCTTCATGTGCCCTTTCATGCTCACTTTCATTCGAAACATCTGACATACCATGAGTGCTTACATTTTCAGCCTGGCTGGACCACACTGGCATAAAATCAAGGGTGAACAGTTTGTGTTTCTGCCACCTCTATCTGTATATTTATGTCTTAAATGCGGCATGCTGTAAACAAACAGGTGTGTGGGAGCTAGTATTTTATAGAAATTGTTATTTAGTAGAATCCACTTTATATAATTCCTGGTGATACAACATCGGATTTATATTGATCTATCAGTGTACTACGTTTATTGATTCATCCAAAATAGGGCATATTGTGCAGCACCTGGACTATAGCCTGCATAAGATATAGCATGTCTGATGAAACTGCAGCAAGTTTAACTGATCAAAAATCTCCACCGTCTTAATGTTAGTAAATCCTTGAAAATGTCCTTCATCCACACCTGGATCCAGATCCACTCAAAGAACTGATCACATGTTCTTGACCTAAGACACTGATGTTCCAACAAATGTCTTTTAAATCTGTTTACGAGTTCATAAAATAGCCTTGAGATAGTCGACACAAAAAACTGACTGCAAACCGCTGGAGCTTCACTCTGTTCAAGTCCAACAAATACACTTTTTGTACATGTTTTGTGCACTGGGAGAACATAGTCCAAGGGAAATAAAACATTTGAAAACATATTTCTAAAAGAAATACTGCTCTGAGCGCTATGTGGTTACAGCAGTTTGTTCTTGGTGTTTTACTCAAGGACATTTGTTGCGTGTTCCGTGTTTTTTATTCACCCTGTACACCGTTTTAAGCTTCACATTACATGGTACTTGTTAGACGCTTTTATCCAAAGCGACTTACATACTCAATACTGTGGACAATCCCCACAGGAGCAATTTGGGGTGAAGTGTCTTGCCCAGGGACACAACGACATGCTGACTGCAGTGGGACTCGAACTTGCTATCCTCTGATTCGAAGATCAGCGCATTAACCCCATTTACCCCCCTAAAAATAATAAATACATCACATGATCTTTCCATCACTGTCATATCAGACAGAGGGTGAAAAGAGGTGCTGCAGCACAGGCAGTATGAGACAAAATAAGACCTATTTGAACATTAAAGCAACATGTCACAGTAGAGGAACAAAATACAAACATAAAACCTGAACATGAGCAATAGAGCCCCTTTAATAGTGAATAAATGTAGAAAGAAACCTTTAAAAAAAATCCAGTGCATCACATATCACAGATGACAAGTATCAAATGTTATTTCACAGCTGTGGACACAGAAGATGTTTTAAATCATTCGTATGAAATGACCTCTCTCTTCCAAAGTAAGTGAATCCCTCCCAGATGTGGAGCAAACAAAATCCTTACAGTACAGATCCAGCTGTGTGTATATAATCTCTGGAACATCAGTTTTACCAGACAACCTCCTGTTTGTGAGAGTGTGTTTGTGTGTCTGTGTGTGTAGGATACAACTATTTCACTGTGAGAATGAGTGGAAAATCCAGTCAGGCCATGGACAGGTTCAATTAAATGTAGCTTCCCAGATGCTGATCACTCACACTCACGTATGCACACACAGAGACAGATTTATTTGTACACTACTGAGACGCTGTAAAACACACACTTAACATTTGCCAATAAAACACACGCCTGCTGCTCTGCTGAACACCAGGAGTGAAAGAAGACTCTGACTTTACACACTTAAGAAACATATGAGACCATGTGTGTCTGTACATATGCGCACACACACACACACACACACACACACACACACACACACACACACACACACACACACACACACACACACACACACACACACACACCTTACATAATCTTTGCACACATATTAATCTGTGTTTGAACCCTCCTGTTTACGTTGCTACGGTGACAACATCAACACCTCTGCTGGGCTGAAGGCTGCAGACACACCTTCCTTTGATCCCAAGCTTCACCTCCCCGATGATGGATGTTTTGACAAGTGCTTCTGTTTCCAAGAGCCAATGGGCTGCACTCCTGTGTGAAGCGTCAGGAAATGATGAAAAATGTAGAGACGCACACACACACACACACACACACACACACACACACACACACACACACACACACACACACACACGGTGCACATGGTGTGATTACAACACTTCTTACAGTACTTGTGTTTCACTTGCTTGAGTGCAAACCAATCTATCAGTGGACAGTTAGGACAGTTTAACAAAAGTGGCTGATTTATTTTAACTTGCACACATTTACATTGCCTCTTGTTAGCAATTACCTCAAAGTAGAGTAAATAAAGTGCCATATAAAGACATATAATATATTAAAATAAAATATAAATACTGTCCTGTTGTGTTTTTGCTGTCAAAGACACAATACTGTAGGAATTATTTGGGGAATGGGAATTATTCGTCGTGCGCACCTAATGAATTCCTTCACATGCTGCTTTGCAAAGTGAAGAAAATAACTTTTATTGAAGATGCTCGCAAACATAGTTTGGAATCACTGTTTATTTTCTTACTTTCTTAATTAAACTCATTATGAAATTTGAATTTTAGTTATAAGAAGTTCATCTTAATGTCTTTTGTCATCACTTTGATTCCAAAACATTGGAGGACATTTTTGGGACCAGAAGAAGAGTTTAATTTGCACTGCAGCTGGCTGCAGAAGTCTGCAATAAAGCTGAATATGATCGTTAAAATATTCAAATCGACACTGGGAACACAGATGGAAATACAGTCTCTCGGCCTGGGATAGTGTTAAAGCTCTGCTGCTGAAAGCTGATTGAAATAGAGATGAAAAGTTGCTTTTGCGTGCAGATTAAAATGTTTTGAATTCATTATGTCTGAGTTTCATCCTCAAAATACTGCAGGTTTACATATTTGCATAGCTCAGTGTTAACAGAAGTTTAAGCCTTTGGCAAACAATGTGGAGCAAGTTATTGCAGGTTTTTAGTTTGACAGGAAGCAGCGCCGCCACTGAATGTTTTCACAGATTGAACTTTGACCTCAGGATTATAAAACAGTATGTTCTTTTACCAAAGCACCTCCAACTTTTAGAAGAAAAAAAATCAAAGCAGCTAATTTTCTCCGAATTCTTGGCTTTTTTTGGCTCCTCACACAAAGAGGTACTTTTGATCAGACCACTTAACTTGATATGTTTCTTCAATATGATGTGAGTTGTCTGAATCTCATCATCTGCTCTGCTCCCATGTGATGCCGACAGAGGACAGAGTGTGTATGTGTGTGTGTGTGTGTGTGTGTGTGTGTGTGTGTGTGTGTGTGCGTGCGTGCGTGTGTGTGTGTGTGTGTGCATGTGTGTGTGTGTGTGTGGTGTGTGTGTGTGGGGGGGGGGGGGGGGGTGTGGGTGTGGGTGTGTGTGTGTGGGTGTGGGTGTGTGTGTGGGTGTGTGGTTGGGTGTGGGTGTGTGTGGTGTGTGTGTGTGTGTGTGTGTGTGTGTGTGTGTGTGTGTGTGTGTGTGTGTGTGTGTGTGTGTGTGTGTGTGTGTGTGTGTGTGTGTGTGTGTGTGTGTGTGTGTGTGGGTGGGGGTGTGGGTGTGTGTGGTGTGTGTGTGTGTGGGTGTGGGTGGCTGCTGAGGGCAGACTGTTCTTGGCCAGCTTTTTATCTTTGTTGTTGTTGTTGTCGTGCGATAAGACTGAACACATAGCAACAGCTGGGCTGGAGTCAGGACGGCTGCGAGGAGAAGTCTTCGCTGGTGTGACAGGATTATGTGATAGAAACATGCTGTGCTCATGCGTAGCCAAATATTAAATAACACTACTGTCCCGTGTTTGAGGGGCCGGGCCCAGCGATGTTGTCATGCTGCCATGGTGACAGTAACCATGCACGGGATAATGTTTACAGAATGTTTAGCATATCACAAAGCAAGCACATAGTGAGTGTGTGTGTGTGTGTGTGTGTGTGTGTGTGTGTGTGGTGTGTGTGTGTGTGTGTGTGTGTGTGTGTGTGTGTGTGTGTGTGTGTGTGTGTGTGTGTGTGTGTGTG